ATGTTCCAAACCAAGCCATGCTGTTTTCTGGAATGTGAAAAGTGGCAAAACACTCACCTGTCCTAAGCTACAGACTCTTAAATTTCTCCAAAGTGCACACACCTCTGGAGACTTGCTGTCCTGTTTTCATCCCTAAGTAACCTCTCTTCCAACTCCAGCCAGGTGCAGTTTTACATGGTCGACACTAGAGGGCGAGCCACCAAAACATTTCTGTTCCAATCCGTTGCTCCGCCAAAACAAAAAAAAGTTCACTCTAGATTTAAAAGACAGCTTTCTCCCCGGCTTTGCCCAAGTCTAATGCCAGCAGCATTCATTGAAAAGCAACAGCGAAGCACTTTTTTTTTTTTTTCCTTTTTGGCATCTTGGGGAACCCACACCACTTGCAAGCTAGGCAAGTGCTCTGCCGCTGAGCTAGATCCCTGGCCATTTAGTTGCCATCTCGTTTACACACTACCATTTCTTTTCCAAGTCCATTTAACACAGTGTAAAGCCATGAGCTAGCCTGCTCCTCCTTTAGATCTGTGTTAGTTGGTGTCTTAGATGTGGGGGAATAAATTGCACTGACCCCTGTCAATCATAAGGGGTATACTAAGAGGGGCCTAATCAGGTGTCCTCTCATTGGTAGCAAGTTTACAAGAGATTCACTCAACTTGAACACTGTGGAGAAAACTGGAGTTAGTTCCTCAAACCAAAAACACCCTAAAAACTGTAGTTTTTATAAACTCCACCCTTGTAGCAAACTGTTCCAAGAAAAGAGAAAACCTGGGGAGTGTAAAGATGTTCAGAGTTTGGCTTCTCTCTTCCCTACTGCCCAACACAGGAACATCTGACTGCCTGATCCGTTGTCATACATCTTCCATAGTTTTACTGTGTCATCCTGATAAAGCCAACACTGGTTATTTCCTGGCAAATGTTGAGTCTCCTCCCTGCTCAAACATTGGGCTCCCCCTTGCTGAGAGGTGGCACCTAGAAACAGCCCCATGGCCACAGTGGAGAGTGCTGGCCACCAAATTCTGTTGGCCAGGGTTTATGGAGAGCTTCCAGCTCTTCCTTGGAGGTCTGAACAGGATTTCCCTAGAGAAGGAGGGCTTCGCAGAATAAATGACAAAGATTGCCCGGGAGGGCCTGCCAGGTCACTGGACTCCAGTTCCTCATTGTTCAGCCCACCGGCTTCCCAGGGCTCTTGTCCAAGTGAGCCGGAAACAGACACAAGAAGCCCCACAAAACTGCAAAATTATTCCATTCCTGCCCACACAAGCACGGGGCACCAGTGATCATACATTCTGCATAATAAGAAARTGCCAAGAGACACTTTTAAGAACCCCCTTGAGTGAAGAATGCCTGGGACCTTTGGCAGGACAAAGTCGAAAGTTGAGGTCTCTTCCCTCCGAGAAGAGTTTTTCAAGTACTTTGTGATGCAAAGTTCTAGTTTTAAATTCCTCAATCTCTTTTTTTAAAACCTAATCTTTTTATTTTACAGAAGCAATAACGTTTGTCATAACTCAAAAATAGCAAAGAGAAATTTAGTAATCTTCCTGAAGTCTACCATCTACACCCTGAAGAAATTTCCTACCAGTTTTTGATTTTTGTAGACAAAGCATCCTTTGACTTCTGAGCTGTAATCTTTCTCTTTTGTTGGCCAGTTTGCAAGGAGCGAGGGCCGTGGCCTCACATAGATAATCAGCAATGTCAAGGAACAGGGAGGGTCTTCTCCAGTCACCACTGAGAAGTTTCATTAAAATCAAAACACTTGTTTCAAATGTCTGGGGAAGTGAGACAAAATGTTTCTCGAACAAGTCTTGGAACCTACCGTCAGGATCTGAGAGTAAGATAAGAACCTTACAATTTTATTTCCATTTGATTTTTGAAAGTCAGCAGGGGAAAACAGTATTTCAATGTTACACCTGCCCTTTTTTTTTTTTTCTTAAAATACATTCTTCGTGTCTGCCAGTAACATTGGCAAAACTTGTTTTTAAAACTGTTGTACATTTTTTTTTGTTAAACTAAGTGCTTGATTTTAAACTATTGCTGCCATCAGACTACATATGAAAATGTATAATGGCCAAGTCATTGTAATTACTTTTTATTTTTAAATGGAAGTATAAGATGCTTTCCAATTCAAGAAATTTCTTGTTAAACTATTTCCTCTTTTTTCATGTAGCATAAAAATTGTCCTGTTTGAATTGTAATTGCCAGTAGAGGATCAGTCACAAGTGAACCTCTTCTCAGTTGTTAATCTTTGCTCACATTAAAAACAACTTATAAATGTGTATGATTACTAAAATGTTTATGGAGGTTTTTCTTATTATGATAAAGTATTGCAGAGTAAACTTTGTTTTGTAACAACAACAAGAACGTCTTTCAAGGGTCTTAAAAACCTCGTGTTCTCTTGCAGTGATAATTTATAATGAAAAGAGAAGTTGATGTTTCTCAAATGGGTCAAGACTCCTGTTTCAAGGGGCTGTGAGCAATTATTTTCTTACAAAAAGATTAAAAATTTATCAGGTCCCTAAATGCTAAGTTTAACTGTGCATTAAATGTTCACGGGAACTTTTAAAAACACACACACATATTCCAGAACCGCTAAGGGCAAGGCCTGGGGATCTGTGTTTTACATGGTCCCCCGGAGACAACCTCAGGGACGGGAGAGCTCTCCTATTTACTGGGCTCTGCATCTGTCTCACATCAGTTTGCATTTAGCAGCATGAAGGGACAGTTCCCTCCACAACCACAAAATTATTCCTCTCCCCTTCCCATCTAGAGACTGGGTCTGAGCAGAGCTTCTCAAAATCAAAGTGTGGTTCCCAGATAATAGCATCACTTGGGAAATTGTCAGAAATGCAAATACTAGAGTCCCATCCTGGGCCTACTATAAAAGAAAATTTGGGGAAGAGGTGAACACAGTCCTCTGTAGGTTTTCTGGTTTGGACGGGGGGATGGACCCCGGGCCTTTTGCCTGTGAGCTGCACCCTGAGCTCCACCCACAGCCCAGTCCTCTGTTTTGGTGAACCCTTCTGTTATTTTTGCTGCAAAGCAGAATCTGTGAACCCCTGGATTAGAGAATTTCACAGTTTTAAGAAAGAAATAATGAAGACATAATTCTATGTCAGGTAGAACCAAGTTTATTAATGACAGCCTTTATTACAATCACTCTCAAGTGTAAAAAATAAAGGGTGATTAATTAAAATTTAAAACTCACTTGGACTTGCTGTTTGGCCTTTCACTGGCTATGCCAAAAGGGTGGGGATCTTGCCTGATTCTGAATCAACTGGTCAGATGGAGTTCACTGGAGAATGAGGTAATAAAAAAGACAAAAGTGCCAATTGGAGAGCTCAAGTCATCTCCATGTTGGAAGGACATTACAAAATGACAACCGTGGGATGGGCGAGAATGAAATAAGATACTCTTACATCCAGAATACGGACTGAACATCTCTACCTATACAGAGACACAGACACACACATGCAGAGTCATACACACATCCAAATTGTGGAGACAAGATTTTAGAAGAATCTGTCCTTTCTCTAAGCAGACTGACACATTCATGAGCCACCACAATGCCACATGGGGCTCAAGTGGAAAACTGTGCTAAATTTCCACAAAGTATGCTAGCTGGCAGCCCATCTATGAGCTGACAAATGTGTCGCCACTGTAAAATAGGCTTGTGGTTTTCCCAGTGCTCCAACAGACCAAAGAGCAACATCCGGGGGACACCAGCTGGATTGAAATCTGGGGGAGCAAAACTTGCCCTCCCATCTGAAGTGGAGGGCAGGGGTGGCAGCACCTGGAAGTGGTTTTCCTCTTTGTATCAAAGAACACTTGCCCTCTTCAATGCACTCCCCCTCCAAAGTATTTTTGTGCTTTTGTTACCATTTTGATGGTGAGGAAGCAAAAAGGACAGAGGAGCTCTGGCCATGCACTAACTTTTTAATCAAACTAAACTGCAAGGAGGAAGAAGGAAAAAAAATCACTAGAAGCTTTTTGATTGTGACAACACTGTTTTGGAATTGGGTTTAATTCCACTCAGAGAGAAAGAAGCAGAAAGGTGCAGAGGATGGGGCACCAAAATTGGCAATGGAAGAGATGGTGGAGTCCATGAGCTTTGTGATGGCACAGCCCATCTCTTCCCAGTAGGGCTGGGACAACATGCCATGATCTCCCAACGCAGGGAAACCTATGGCCTATTCTGAAATAAATGCGACCAATATTTTAAAAGGTCAGTAGGAAAGATGGCAGGAACAGGAGATGGATTTAGAATCACAGGTCATGCAGGTTAAGATTATACAAACAAAATTAATATTTGAGCCAAGTTAAAAAAAAAAAGCACTTTTAAAATTTAAGAGGGACTATATCATAGCCTTCACCTTTGGGAGACCAAGAAAAAAAAAAAATAAGAACAATAACAAAAATCAAAATAAAACAACATAACCCAGAATATTCCAGAGTTTCCAAAGAATCCAACCACTAATTTGGTAGGGTGGGGTGAGGGAGTGTTTAATTAACACCTCTCATTAACCTCATTTTCTCCTTGGATGTCACTGATAAATAAAGCTCAGGCCTACTTAGAAAAAAGAGTGGTCCTGCTAAAATACGGCATTATGAAGTCTCCAAGGCTTGCTCGGTGCACACGGAATACACAACTTTCTTTATAAGAGATGCTCCAGGACGGACCAYGAGTACCACCCACATTACCTGCTCAACTCGATCACAAACCCTCAACCCAAAGGCAAGCTGTCTTCCTCTTCAGACGACAGTGGCAACAGTTCCCTGAAAATGTACACGGAGGGATGCCAAAACACCACTGCCCTCCAGGTAAGGAAGAGGCTGAGTTTGAGCAAAGATGTACTTCATTAGGCCACACGGAACACAAGGCAGTCTCTCCAAGGTGGGACGAAAAGCAAGACTCTCTCTCTCAGTCCTCCAGTGACTGAAGTGGAGGACAGGGCTGTGTTCTCCACCGATTCATGTACCTCTGGGTACCCCACCCTGCCTTGATCTCCTTTTTGGTAAGCATCCATCCATCCATAAATTCATGGCTACAGTAGAGATTCACGGCGCAATGACTTTCGTTCTGGCTATCTTATTAAAAAAAWTTTTTTTTTTCTGTCAGTGAGCAGCATTATCCAGTTTTACACCCCCAACAAAAGAAACAAGTTCTTGGCAGCTCCATTAGGTGGGATTGCAGGATGCCTGTGTGACGAGGTGCACACAGCTTGCATATCAGTTCAGCACGCAGGAGGGTGATGAAGGCTGGGTCAGTCCAGTGTCTTGCAGCAGCTGTTGCAGGGGCTCTACCAGCTAGCCCTGACAGCTTCAATATCACTAACCAAATTCTGGGCCAGGCATATCCCAAAAATCTGAGGGGAAAAAAAAAAAAAGCAAGTCAAACAGTGAAATTCTTAAATTCATTAAGCTTTTCCTTGGCCCTGTGTTCATTTTTTTTTTTGGGGGGGGTAATCTGATTGTTAAAAATTGAGATTCAATTCATGTACTGTAAAATGCATCCATTTAATGATAATAATTCAGTAGGTTTTAGTTTATTCACTAAGTTATGCAACTGTCACCACTATCTAATTATAGACATTCTTATTACCCTTTGAATAAGCCTTCTTTGCCTAAGCAGTCATTTCTATTCCTCTGCCCATATAGCCCTGGCTGTATTTCTATGTATTAATGAATTTCTATAGATTAGATATTCTGGACATTTCACATACATGGAATCATAGAATATGTAGTGTGTCTTTTTACATGTAGCAAAATATTCTCAAGTTTTATCCTCATGTACCAATAGTTCATTGTTTTGTTTTTGTTTTTTGGAGGGGATGTGCTGTTTGGGGGGAAAGGTAATAAATTTATTTGAAGAAATGGTACAATGGTACAAATTAAAAAACTTAAGTTTTGGGTTGGTTTTTTTTTTTTTTTTTTTTTTGGTACTGGGGATTGAACTCAGGGGCACTTTACCATTTAGCTCTATCCCCAGCCCTTTTTATTTTTTACTTTGAGACAAAGCCTTGCTAAGTTACTAGGGTAGGCCTTGAATTTGTGATCCTCCTACCTGAGCCTTCTGAGTCACTGGGATTATAAGGGTGTGCCACCATTCCTGGCTTTAAGGGAATGTTTTGGTACAACTGACAGAGAAGGTAACTCCAACATGCTTGCATTACCTTTGAGACCAGGGAAGTCACCCCATGGCCATGGGAAAGTCAGCCTAAGGCTTATCACTTATCACTGTGTGCTGGTCAAAGAGGTCTTCTGCCATGACAGATTCAGGGGCTCCTATCCTGCAGACGTTGATTACATGGTCACCCAGTTCTCTAAGGAATTTTGCCTGGTCATTCAGGTAATGAGTCTCAATATTAAAGTTACACAGAGAGGGTCATTTTGTCAGTAGCCAGTTGCATGTGGCCTGCTCCCCTGTCAAGGTCTGGTTTCTTGATATCCTGCAGGAAGACAGAGCTACCTCATTAGTTCTGGAGTTTCATCAGTTTCCAAGCATGTTCCCTGTCCTTGTGAGATTGGTGAGATTTGGCAAAGTACTTCAAAGTCACATCATCCTGGTCAAAGCAGTAGAAAGATGGGCAGGCAGGCAGGGGGAGGTAGAGCTCCAGTTTGACCTGGCTGAGAGGCAGAGGTGGGGACGGCAAAGATCCTGGGGTAGTCTGAGGGCATGGTGGAGAGGTGGAGAAGGACTGGCTCTGGGGGCCAGTACAGGTGGTGGACAAACGACAGGTTCTTTCCAAGTACTGTTGAAGCAGGAAATCACACTGACTCTTACAAAGAATTCTTGGCCAAGCATTCTGGTTGCTGAATGATATTCTATCATATGTCTATACCACATTTTGTTTATCCACTCATCAATTAATGAATATCTGAATTGTTCTTTTATTTGATAATTATGAATAAAGCTGCTATGAACATTTATGTACAATTTTTTTGGTGAATATATTTTTCAATCCTTTTGGGTACATCCTAGGACTGGAATTACTGGGCCATATGATACCTTTATTTTTAATTTTCTGAGAGCTGCCAAGTTGTTCTCCAAATAGGCTGCACCCTTTCATGCCTTCCAGCAGCATGTGAGGGTTCCAGTTTCTCCATATCCTCACCAACACTTATTATTGTCTTGTCTTTTTTTATTCTGCCATCCCACTAAGTGTGAAATGGTAACTCATACCAGTTTTTATTTGCACTTTCTAAAGACTAATGACGTTGGCATCTTTTCCTGTGCATATCAGCCATTTTTTATTTTCTTTGGAGAAATGTCTACTGAGATCCTTTGCTCATCTTAAAACTGGGTCTTTTTATTTTTCTATATTCTTGATAGACTTTTTTAAAGTCATAAAGTCATTCTTTTTTTGTTCTTATTTTTTATAAGTTTATTTTATTTGTTTGTTTTTCATGTGGTGCTTAGGATTGAACCCAGTGCCTCACACATGCTAGGCAAGTGCTCCATCACTGAGCCACAACTCCAGCCCTTGAAACACCTTTTTAAGACAATGATTTGAAAATATTTTCTCCAACTTTGTGGGTTAACTTTTTATTTTTTCAACAATAACATTTTCAGCATAGAATTTTTAAAATTTGTATGGAGTTCATTTATTTACATTTTCTTGGGTTGCTTGTTGCTGTCATATCTAAGGCAACATTGCTTAATCCATAAATCACAAATATTTGCATCTGTATTCTTCTAGAGTGTCACAGTTTAGCTCTTATTTGGCTCTCTTTCTTATTTTCCTTTTCATTCTTCTCTTTTTCATTTCTTGGGTCTCTCTACGTTGCCCAAGTTGGTCTCAAACTTCTGCACTTGAGCAATCCTCCTACCTCAGCCCCTTTAGTAGCTGAGACTGCAGGCCTGCACCACCATGCCTGGATATATTTAGGTCTTTGATCTATTTTAAGTTAATGTTTACATATTATATGAAATAACGGTCTAATTTCACTTTTTGGTACACAGATATCCAGTATTCCCAGCACTCCTTGTTGAAAAGAGGGTTTATCCCCATTGAATGGTTTTGTTCCCTTGTCAAAAATAAACTGACCAGAGACATATGAGGTTATTTCTAGACTTCCAATTCGATTCCTCTGCTCTACAATGGCTAGCCTTATTTGAGTACACACTATCTTGATTAATGATGTGGCTTTGTAGTTGGTTTTGTATTGATAACTGTGAATTCTCCAAATTTGTTCTTTTTCTAGTTCATTTAGACTATTCTGTATTCCTTACATTCATTTAGACTATTCTGTGTTCCGTGTGAATTTTGGGATCAGCTTTTTCATTATGGACACAAAGGCAGTTGGAATTGTGATAAGGACTGCAATGAAGTTGTAAGTCAATTTGAGGAGTAACGACACTTGAAAATATGAAGTCTTGCAATCTGTGAACACATCTTTCCATTTATTTGGGTCTTCTCTAACTTCTTTCAACCATGTGCCCTGTTTGTGAATCTCCAAAGAAAATATCATGTCAACAACATAAAGAGTCTAGCTCTTGAGACCATTTAGGAGGAAAAGTGGGTGCTCCTTCCCTCACTGTCACTGTGGCAAGCTGGTCCAGACAGCAAAAAAGGGACACAGCATCTCTGAAGCTCCCCAACACTCTAATCTCGTAACTGAGATCTATTCTGACTATTCAAGTCTGCCCCAGCTATCGCAATGCAGTATGACTGAGCTCATGGAAACAAGAGAACACTATCAGGCAACTAGTGATCTACTCAATTTCTCCATCTTGAAAATGAAAATATAAATAAATAAGATTTCCTACAGTATTTCAGGATCTAAAATCAGATCTTAAAAAAAAAATTCAAATGGAATAGTTTAGTCTGTTTGCAGCCCTCCAATGTGTTTTAACAACAATGACACTCAGGTGATTGTGCAAAGCTTCTGTCCTGGTGAGGGCTCTCCTGGGGCACTATTTCCCTGTGTTATCCATAAAGGACCTTGTCTTACCTGCAGTAATGCAATGCCTATGAAAATACCAGCCACGATGGTTAAATTGTCCTGCAGCCACTTCTCAAACTGGGGCACACAGCCTTTTGTGTAGATTACAATCTGCTGGTCAACTTCCTTCACAAGGGAAGAGGAGAGCAGAATGTCACAGATACAGCACTGTGCACATGCAAAAGCGCCTCCAAACACCCTGCGTGCTAAGCGGCAAGATGAGATTCCACTTACTGGTTTTTGCCTGGCATCGTAGCCACACTGAGTATTGATGACATCTTCCTGGTAAAGAAAGAAAAAGAAAAGTGAAATTCACTCTTATTAAACAGAAAATCCATCTAGAAATGGGCAGAAGCCCCCCCCCCATCAAGTGTCAGTGATAAATGTCTACAGGGGTATACAGATGGTACAACTATGTTAAACACTTTAGCTATGCTATCCCGTGTAATCATGATAACAATTTTCAGAAATAGGTATGAAAATATGCCCTATTTTATACACGAGGAAAACGGAGGCTCGGGGAGTCTCGAACAGGACAAATCCATTATGTAGGAAGCTCAAGATTCAAAGTGCTGCCGACCCTAAGGAGCTTAAGGGGTGCAGAGAATGGAGGAAGTAGATTAAAACAAAACCTGAAGGACACAGTAAGTACCTTAATTTTTTTTTGGTGAGGAGGGAGGTCTCTTATATTTTTGTGTGTGTATATGGGGAGGGGTGCATGTTAAGCGCAAACCCAGGGCCTGTGTGTGCCAAGCACATACTCATACATTTTAATCTACAAACTTCTGTATTGTTTAGATGGTTTTTCAACAAGAATGCATTACTTTAATAATTAAAATCAAAACACAATCCTGACTACCTATTACACGGGCAGCCTGACATCTCCCGGGACCTGATCAGAAACTTGGGTTCCACTTTTTTGAGTTAGTTTATTCTTCCCCTCTGTGGAGTATTAGGTAGATTTTCTTAGCTTAGATCTCATAGAATAAAACAGTTTTACTGAAAATCTCTGTAGTTGAAAGGAGAAGCCTAGTGACTCCCAAGAATCTTCTGAATTCTTACGATGGACTATTAATGTTAGACAGGACCTGGAGACAGGGAGCACACAATTCAGGGTCTGCTGGCCAGTGGCAAGGCCACCAGAGTGGGCACCTCAAGCCCAGAGATGGGCATTCTCTGCCCTAGGAGAGGGATAAATGAGCCAGCAGGAAAGGAATCAGGACCAGAATTGGACAGTTGTTAGTAATTCTCAGTCTCCGTCAGACCAAGAGACACAGCCCAGGCTGAACCCGGAGCTGGTGGAGAAGGCCTGCCCACCGCAACACCAAGACCACAGCCTCTCTTAAAGAGGCCCGTGGCCTCTACCTTGCAGGTGAGCAACCCTTGGAACTCATCTATGCTCTCCTGGCTCCACTCATTGGGGTCAAGGACAGGCCGGGGGAGGACACCTGGGGACTGAAGGACTAAGAGAGACACTGGAGTCCAGGAAGGCATGTAGCTTAGGAGCATGCAGGGATGAATGTGGGACAACCTCTCATTTCTAACACCCAATTCTGGCTTTTCATGTATAACTAGGAATTGCATTTTCAGTCATTCTGTTTACCAAGCTGAATCCTTTGACCCCAAGATATAATCAAACCCGTGGTATAAGGGAATGGCTTATAAATAGGGTTTTTTAATGGTTTATTTTTAAAAATTATATGCAAACAGCAATTACTGTAGTTATTATGATACCCAAGAGCCTGGGAGGCTATGGTCTTGCTAAGAAGTAGTGTTTCAAACTGTCCCTCTGCTCCTAATACCTTCCTTAGGAACTTGGCTGGGAAGAAGAGGGTTATGAGCCCCCAACTAATGGCGAGCTCTCGTGTGAGCCCAACCTTCTTATAAAGAAGTTAATAACAAGCGATATGGGCAGGCTGCTGCCGCTTGGTGCTTGGTTCYATCGCTGGCAGAAGAGTGAGCCTGAGACAGTGACTGACACTCCATGTGCCTTGGTTTCTTCACCTGAAAAGGCAGGGTAATGGTGGCATCTGCTGGTAGAAATGTTCTGAACTTAAATGAGCCAATGCGCATTAACACCTTGGCCTGGGAACCAGCATAGACTGCTACATTAATGCCAGGGACGATTGCTCCTACCAAAATATCCGAGCACTCTACCCCCTACAGGAGTTCCAATTAGCCAAAGGCAGGTAAGAAGAGGTTTCATGACAAAATCGCTCTACCCATCCCTCACACCCTCACTGTGGCGCACAGAGCAGGCCAACAGTTTGCTGGCAGTCACTCACCGCCGGGTCTTTAGTACAGCAGGAGAACGGCACGCCGCAGCGCTCTCGACTTGCATTGGAATCTGTGCAATTGAAGTAAATATTTAGGTTCCAATCATCAGCTCCAAAAGCCCCACAGCACTGCCACTAGAGCAAACAGGAGACAATTAGGACATCTTGACTTGGAGGCGATCAGGCGCCTACACTCACACCCGCCAGAATGACACCCAGCCTCTGCCAGCTCTAACCTCCTCTTCTGTCTCAGAATTAAGTTTTCCAGCCAAACAGAACCTAAATGGCCCCTGTAAAAGCTTCCAGAGTAATTAAGGCTGAAGGTTTACAAAGATGTGTTGGCATGTGATTTAAATGATCAATGAAACCCATGGTGTTGGTGGATATGAGTGTTGTACAGCAAGAGCTCACTAAGAACAGGATCAGTTTGGCTTCGAAATCTTCTAGAAGGATCTGTAAGAATATTCTAGAAGGATCATTAACAAGATGGCAGCATCTGAAGGAGGCAACTGGCCTGTAGGTGGGCTTAAAGTTTTGATCTCCATATTTTAATGGTTTTTACTGACATACAGTAAACTGCACATTTTATAATAATATACCAACTATATAATTTGGTAAGTGTGACATAGCATTGTGAAACTATCACCATAATCAAAATAGTGAACATCAGGCCGGGGACATAACTTAGTGGTAGAGTGCTTGTCTAGCATGCCCAAGGCCCTATAAGCCCAGAAAAAAAAAAAATGTTAGTGAACATATTCATATCCTAAAAGTCATACGGGTTGCTTTCATTACACTTGTTTCTGTTCTGAATTTTTAAAAACAAGAATATACATTTACATTTTCAACTTTAAAAAGTCCGTTACCTAATTAAAATATAATATACTGAATAGGTCTTAAGTGGAGCCATATTCAAGGGCTATTCCATAAGACCCCTACTAACCCTCTGTGCTAGACTATCTCTACTTCTTTGAATTCAATTAATACAAAGTTTTGACCACTGTAAGGCTTTCAGGGCCAACAGCTACTTCAAAATACTAAACTACATGATATAAAGATAAAATCACATGAAACAATAGTATTTCCGAACAAAGCAGACAGCACTTCAGGACACTGTGTGCACGAATGTTCTTCAAGCTCAGCTGGGCCTCCGAGGGCTTGGGCTGTGCATCTCAAGGTCTGTCCCAAAGCTTCATCAGGTTTGTCATGCAAACTAGTCATGAAAAGTACTGGGGGAGTGTGAGCTCACATCCACTATGACCTAACAGAACATCAAGTCTGCCGAGGAGATGAAATGGGGCTCAGTTACACACCCCACCTATAGCTTGCTCTGGACAACTGCTGGTGCACCATTCGAAACACACGGCTCACAGCCCAGGGCTGATGCCCAGTGAGGAAGGGTGGTTTCTCTCACAACCAGTGCCCGTGCAGTGGTGTCCTCTCTTTATCCACAATGACCCTGGCTTGTTCTGGAAAATGGTCCAACCTGCATCAGGCCATTGGCCCACTGGGCTTCCGTCTGCCCTCCAGTCCTGCCATATTCATTAATGCCAGGGACACTGCTGTCTGGATCCACTTAGCTTACCCAATCTTTCACTGCAGGCATATAAAGACCTGCTAGTCGGTAGGATAAAAACACCTCAGGCTGAATAGAAAACCATGTATATCTCATTAGAATCATAATGGCACTGTAAGTTAGATAGTAGCTATTAATATTTATATTTTTTTTTCTATTAAGGAAACAGGGCAAGATTTTGTTAGTCCAGGTCCCTGAGACCTTGTGTTTCTGGGCCCTTCTTTTGCACCATTTTGAGTGAAAAGAGGCTTCTTTACATGCATTGAGTTAGCTGTCCCATAGTCAAGTTCACACACCTGAGGGATGGGTGGGAGTCTTGTGTACAGATTCCCCACTGGCTGGAAGGCTAGGGAGCAGGAGAACTCCTAGGGTTAGGAGCTTCTAATTTTTTAGTTTTAACTGCTGCACATGCTATAATAATATATGAATAGGCATATTTTAGGAACTTTGCTGACAAATATTCTATGAAGTACATCATGACCAAATGGGAAGTAGGGAGGGTTACCAAAAAGGGGGTCAAGGAACAAGAAAGAATCCATATTTAATAACCAAATAAAACTTTAAACCCATAGGAGAACAGTGTTCTTCAAAGGCTGATAGGGAAGGACCACGATGATTATAATCTTTTTGCTCAAGTTTTCTTCTTTATTCCTCTAACTGAAATTGACACAAGTGAAAATAGAACATTTCCATTTTAGACTCAAATCCTATAAGTCATAGAGTGAAAAAATAATATACAAGCGGACAAAGAAAAAAAATATGCAGAAAAATCAGAGACGTTTCTGGCTGGCAGAGATGCAGAAACTAGAAGAGTATTGTGGGGGTCATCCTTTTGAGAAGACTTTCAACTTTAAAATAAACCAAATTTGAACTTACATATTCCTGGGTGAAGTCTATAAGGTTTTGCAAATCAATGTCATCCCTGTACGCTCTGATGTTGTTGTTTATAAAGAAATACAGCTGGTCTTTGATCCAGTCTTTGAAAACAAATGCCAAAACCCCAGCAGTGAGCTCCAGGAAGAAAATAATTCCCAGGAACACAGAAAACTAGACGAAAGACACATACACAGAACACAGTTAAAAGGGCTGTTTTGATCCGATGTAGTTAAATAGTTACTCTCTGAAAAGGTTTGTAATTACAGTTGATTGTTACACATCTCCAAACCACATAATCTTCAGTTTCTTAAGATTGAGTAATAGAATATTACACTCCAAGAAAGAATTTTTAAAAATTAAAAATCAATTCATAATCACATTTTAGAGTCTCTGGAGTTCCACTTGATAATTAACCAACAAAGCCCATAAGCAAACATGAGTCACAGGAATTTCTCATTAGACCCACATTAATGCCTAATGAATTTCTCGTGATTAATGTACTGCCAGACATCTGAACAATGACCCGCCTCTAYCTCTAGTCAGCATTTTTTCTAACTTGAAAGATAGATGATCCCAATATTTTACAATCATCTGTCATTCGTACTGTGGCCTTGATTCTTTATGCAATATATCCTTTTTATGGATTCGGACACAGTTTTAATTCCTCTTTGCACCTGCTGTACAGCATGAAATAACAGATTGGTTCATCTTGGACAAAGAAGTCAAAGAGGAAGTGGGGGGAGGTGTGAATGTGACATGAAAATAATTTCCAATTGTCAAAACAGAATGAGCCCCTGGGTTAAGGGCTTTCTGGAGAATGCTAGCTGTACTCGGCTTCCTCTGGGAAGCACCAAGCTCAGGAAACGTTTTAAATAACATCAAAATGCAGCCAAAGGGAGACCTGTGGCTCATGTAGATAAGAAGAGTTTAGGGCTAGAGACCATACAGCAATGTGGAAATTGCTCTTAACTCTGGAGAAATCTCCCTTCCTTCTGGAATCCTCAGAAGAGCCTTCACTGGTTCATTTACTGACTCTTGTTCACGCCCACCGTTCTTTCCACCTCAATCTCTCCCACATCCTTACCCTTCTCAATTTTTTTTAAACTAAAATAGATGATGAGAAATGGGGCTATGAAGGAGCAGAGGGCACATGATAGACAAACTCTTGGGTGAGAACAGCAGAGGGTGACACTGGGACCACACCTGCTGGGCAGAGGTCCTGAAGGCTGCAGAACAGTGTGTAGCTAAGGAGGCACTGGGGACTCAGTGGTCTGTGGTTTCTATCTTCAACCAGCAGACACCAAGCTGCCAGCCAAGAGAGAATGTGTAGAGGGAGGGGTTCAAAAACATTTATTCACTCAGCAAACGTCAACTGAATGACCATAATGCCCCTGTGGTAAGGCAGGATCTGCAGAAGCAAGGATGAGTAACACCATAAACCTGTCTTCAAAGTAATCTGGGGGTAGAGAATAGGGTGGGAAAGGGCAGTGGGAAGGAGTCTCACATCACTATAGCTGAGTGCTTATCTACAGTGCCAGGTGTGGCTCTGTGAGGAAGGATGTGGCCGGAGGGCTAGAAGGAGGAAATCAAGTATCTGCCAAAATCTAGGACCCCAAGGTTTAGACCCCAATTCTAGACTCTCCAACTCAGTTCTTCAGGTTCCCAGAGAATTCCTGGTTATCGTTCCTTGATGAGTTCACTGGAAATAAAATTTAAACAGTTCTTAATTATCATCAATGATACCAATAATTTCAAATTAAGCTCCCTTAATCTGGAAAAAAGAAAAAAAATCATACCACTTTTGCTCAGTGCCTACCTCCTTTAATACAGTACCTTTTCCTTAACTGAGTACCACCTCAAACATGTAAATTCGATAGTTCCTATGCTACAGAGATGATAAAATCATAACTAGCATGCCTGTTGTGCACACACACACAACAGCAGGACAGAAGCCACGCAAAGATTTTAATGAGATTTTTGGTTCTCATCTCTGTAAAGGTTAGGGAAGCTCATTTTCCAGTTCCCCTGATACATTTTCTCAGGTTACATAATATACATATCAAATATCAAGTCCAAGTTTAATTGATTTCAAATATTTGGAAACCTACATTCCCCAGGCCTTGTGAGCTAACTTCTCCTATTTCCAGAAGGGCAGAAACGAACTCACAGGCTTCATCCTAGGGCCTCAGTCAACCAGGAAGCTCCACATCTACTTCACAATCCCTTCACTGTAGGATTTTCCCTCAGCAACGGTCCTGGTCTTAGACATCTAAGTCTGGGTAAAGGCATGCTGACATTTATTTCCTACTTATCTCGTAGCTCCTTCCTGACAAACATTCTCAGCCAATTTTCATAGTTTGGACTGAAGAGAGAGGCCCTTAAAAATATTCTCCAAGAATTAAAAAAAAAAAAAGCCAAAAAATAACACAATATTTTTTATTTTCTACATGGGGTTTTATAAACTGACTACTATTTTTAATGAAACTATATTTAAGTAAATCACATTAATGGGGATCTTGTATTTGGGGACATGGAGGCTTAAACGGATAAAACAGTGACAACAGGTTAAGAATGATAGGGTCTAAACAGACTATGGAAAGGTTGAGCAAGCTCAGCATTCAGAGTGCCTTGTGCCCAGAAGGCTGGTGGACTGGCAGGTCAGGGTCGGGCGGGGCAAACCTCTCCTGGAGGCCCCACAGGTCTGGCAAGGCAAGAATGAACCCTATGTGTGTGCAAGTATGAATCTAGAAGATAAAGCAGTTAGAGTCTTGGGAAACTAGCTACTCCTACTATAGCCCCATATATAGAGAACCAGCTGCTCATTAAACTGTACCTACAACCAAATACTTCTGAGTTTTCTGATAGCATAAGTCACATGAACTTTCAGGATAACAGCCTCCTTCTCACAGTCAGAGCTGCCTAAATTCAAAATGGATCAGGCTGGGTGGGGTGCAGTAAATGTCTTCTTAGTCATGTTGGAGAAAAGTTGTCAGAAATGTTGGGGAAGAGAACCACAGGTCACATGGCTGTTGGGACGGGTTCTAGGATAAGCTCTAGTTTTAAATGAAAATGATCCTTCATGATGTGATGTCAACAAAAATTGGAAAGGATTTTAGTTATGCAAACATGGTTCTCTGAAGCTGGGCATGGTGGTGCATGCTTATAATTCCAGCTACTCGGGAAGTTGAGGCAAGAGGATGGTGAGTTCAAGGCCAGCCTTAGCACCTTAGCAAAGCTTAAGATTAAAAAAAAAAAGAGCTAGGGATGTGATTAGTGGTTCAGCACCCCTAGGTTCATTCCCCAGTACCAAAAAAAAAAAAAAAAAAAAAAGGTTCTCTGGAAATCCCTAGCATCTTCCCCTACCATAAAAAGGATCATCATTTAATCACTTCCCTGATCCTGGAGAGGGGAATAGATGCTTTGTATACAGCACCCACCAGAATGCCAAGTTCCACATCCACAGGCACACTGGCTACCTTTACCAATTCTATTTCATATACAAATATACAGCATATACCATTTGTACTTCTTTAGATACAATCTCCAAAGAGAAGGCTTCACTTTTCATTCTTTACTTTTCCTTTTAATCCTGGTAAAAGCTCTCCTCTGCAAATATTCATGCTAATAGCAATCACACAAACACTCTGTAAAGGAACTAAAAATTATGCTGGTCATACCAAGGAGAACTTTGTACTGGCCAAGCACAAAGGAGATCTACCTTTTACTGTTTCTCTATGTTTACTAAAACCAGATTTAACCTGACAGGCCACTGTCACTGTGGTTAAGCCTAGTTCCTACAGCCCAATACCTGTACAGCTTTCTATTTACCATTTGCATAAAAAAGGGAGGAAATCACTTAAAAGAAGAAATATATATATACTCACCTTTGTCCTAAATCTACTTTAGGGATTAGACTACATTTGTGATACACATATATAAAATCTCTAAGGATAGCCGGGTGTGGTGGTGCACACCTGTAATCCCAGCAGTTTAGGAGGCTGAGGCAGGAAGATTTCGAGTTCAAGCCAGCCTCAGCAATGGTGAGGTGCTAAGCAACTCAGTGAGACCCTGTCTCTAAATAAAATACAAAAAAAATGGTTGGGGATGTGGCTCAGTGGTTGAGTGCCCTGAGTTCAATCCCTGTTAGCCCCCTGCCCCCCCAAAAAAAATTCTTTAAGGATAGCATGGTGGATGAAATTTACATTATTCAGGAGGGATGACCAGAGTAGGGGTTGAGGTTTCTTACAGGCTAGAAACCACTCCTGAAAGAAAAAACAGCACCTGGGCCATGTTTTTTTATCACTGTCTTTGGTACAGCTCACCATCTTGCCTGAAACCAGGGTGACCTCTTGATATACGAGTTTGGCTTTGAAATCTGCAAGCAGAAAGTGTGATACTTACAAACTTGAGAAGGAAAGTGTTTTCCCTTAGTGCTCCTATGCACCCTGCAAATCCCAAAATGAACATCACTCCTCCGACCACAAGGAAGAGCCACACTGGGTCAAAGCCACCAAGATCGGTGATGGACGAGATGTTGGACAGAACGCCCTGGGGTGGAAAAGAACACAAAAGGTACCAGGATGTGAGGCTAGTTTGTTCACATGGGAGGGTTCCAGCACTTGTCCCCACCCTCACCCTCCAGAGCAACCCTTCAGAGGTCATCTGAATTCTCAGGCATGGTTAGTATTCCAGAGACACTGCCAAGAAAGCAAAGAAGGGTGCACAGGGAAGGGGTAAAGGGAAAGGGGAAGGGATGGAGGGAGGAGAAAAGCAGAAAAAAGAAGAGAAAAAGAATCTGCTTTTTTTTTTTTTGAGATCCAAATTTCTTAAGTTTTTGGCAAAAAAAAAAAAAAAACAGCAAAAAAATTAAAGCAAGAAACCAAAATGACTGTCGTCAGAGTCTATAAGGAAAAAAAACATATTACTGTGGCTTCTGTGTCCCCAGATAAAAGTGGTAATGAGTCCCCAAAACAGTGTAAGAAAAACACATTCTCTGATACCCTAAAAGGAAGGGGGGTCATCTTAAAGTCCCCTGGGACTGGAGATGTTAGACAATGGCCTACTTCAAAGCCCCTGGCATTTCTCAGGAAACAGGGTGAGAGCTAGAAGCTAAAAATGGACACAGCATCCAGTTCTGACCACAAGTTTCTATAAAGTTTCTCAGGGAAAAACTGCATGTCAGGATCCACCCTGAGCTTCATGAGACCCTTTCAGGCTCAGAGCCACAGAGCGCTCTTATGCGGTTTGTGCTGATGGATGTTCTGTTTGGTAGTTAAAAGAAGGTATTAATACCTTCTTTTAAGAGCTGGGATTAAAAAAATATATATCAAAGATTCCATCACTTTCAACCCTTTGATTCGCCTATCCCAAGACTAACCCAKAGTGGTTTTATTTCTCCATAAACAACGTCACTTCTTTCTGAAATCCTCTCTCTTGAGTACGAGACCACATCAAATACCACTCAGAACCTATGTTAGAACAAATTATGAGATTTTTTTTTCTCCCAAATGTAATGTCATACTTACTGTTCATTCATATAAAAGACCAGAGACTACTGTTTTGAAACTGTGAGTCTTAAACATCCAAGATCACCAATACTTTATTWTCTTATTGTTTTGAACTCCAAAGTCAAAATACCTCCAGAGTATTAGGGCTATAGTTTGCTGTGTGGTTTGCTGTAAAGTCCTAATATTAAATATTTTTGTTTTCAAAGCACTTACAACAACCTAGAACAGGAAGAATTCATCTGTTTTTATATGTGAGGAAAATGGAACCCAGAGCAGTCTGGGAATGGGCTTAAATCATACAATGATTTTTGGGAATCAAAACAKACTATCTCAGTCCTGGTTCCCTATCATGTTGGTTGCAGTCATGTACTYGATTCCCAGTATGTTCTGATCAACACCTGAGTTCAGGAGTTTTAAGTTTCAAGCCTTTTTAAGTTTTCAGAAACATGTAGAGAAGAGGACTTTTAGGTTTTTCTTTTTAGAGTGGTGTCAATCTAAGAACCCCAATAGTATATTAGTAACAGAAAATATGAGGAATAGCCATAAGGCTTAACCGAAGCAGAAAAGGTCAGGGGTTTAAGTGAAGTTTCAGACAAGGGCTGGGAGATCAGAGAAGCTCTGGGAATAAAGGGTGTATCCACCACCTTCAGCAGTGACATCATAGGAGGCAGCCACAGCCTCCTCCAGAAGACAACTTGTTTCTTAGGTTTCCAAGGTCTGAACTAGAATAGTCAGTCCAGGAGGAGAATGGGTGAAAGAAAACACAGAAATACTGAAAACAATTCTCCACCTATACAAATGATGCCAAGAAAAAACTTGCCAGAAAAGTCGGACAAGATCCAGGAACCAGTGTTAAGGGTCCAGAGTGGGAAGGAAACCAATCTCTCCTCCTTACACAGGTGTTAAAAGGCTGAATGTTCTGCACCTGTTCAGCCACGGGAAGAAAGGGCTTTGTGGGTACACACTATTCTTAAAATATAAAAAGCTAAAACTTCATTATGGGAGAAGACTTAGACTTTATTAATTTGGCACCTGAAAGAGGAGGTAGCAGAGATGGAAATGACAAAGGCACTGGTTCCATCTTAAGGAGGCATTTCAAAAACCATCAGGACTCTAGCAATGAAGAGAGAAGTTTGCCCTTAGGGTTACAGGTTTCCCTCCATGGGCAGCTGAGGCTGGGGACCTCTCAACTGTGTTCTAGGAAGGATTCGTAGAGTGGACCGGAAGTTGGGACTTAGTGACCTTTAGGCTCCTTCCAACTTAAGACTGTGCTATGATTTCATCCATTTTTTAATGGGCTTTTTGTGACTCACACTCAAGTCTGAGCAAAGATCAGATTGTTCCCAAACACTCTTCCATGATTCTGGGTTGTACACAAAGAGCTCTGTGGACAACAGAGATAATTATCTGGGCGGTTTTGCAAAGCAAGCAAACAAACATCCATGTGCCCTAAAATATCAAGAAAAAATTCCTCCCCAAAAGGCAAAAAATTATGATCCCAACGATCAGTAGATTCCTAGATCATTTGTCCTCTGGGGGTTTAATTTGGAGGATGAGAATTTGGCTTCTCAGACAAACTCATTTTAATACTTACTCTCTCTAGCCTGCAGGGGCAATTTTAATTGAGAGGCCTTCAACTGTTTCCATGGAAACGACAATCATTTGGGGGCCTAGCCGGACTGCGGATTCTACTCATTTAATTCTAAATTCCAGCAAAAGATGGGGCTGGAGACAGATACTATGAAGAGCATGGGGAACTATAATTCTGAGAAGCATAAGATAGACTACCAAGAACTTTATTTTTATTGGATTCAGGATATACCCAGGTAGATATCAGTTGTAAACTAATTAAAATCTTTTTTTTTTGATGGAAAGAAGATATATTTTATTTATTTAAAACATTTTAATTGACAAGCAAAATTATATGTACTTACCCTGCAAAATGTTTTAAAGTATGTATGTGCACACACACACACACACGTGCACACACACACACACACACACACACACAGTAGAATGACTAAATCTAGCTAACATGCATTTCCTCACAGTTATCGTTTTTGTGGTAAGAATCCATTACATCCACTCTCAGCATTTTGCAAGAATTCAGTATATAATTAACTCAAGTCTTGAAGCACATAGTGTCGAAGTTGATGCCCAATGACAGTTTTCTCTCCCTTGGAATTGGGCTTACTACCTAAATGAAGAGGGAGAGAAGACCAGCTCTTTCATCTGTGCAAAGTGTCCCAAGGCTCACTGCGGAGCAGCAGATTACACAGAGATTCAGGTGAGCCGAACATCACCTAACAGCAATGACTCTGGATTACGAAAATGATGGGGAGAAGACAGGTCCGCCTTCCGTGTCTTCAAGAGGGGTCTCTCAATGTACATTGTAATTTTGTTAAGCTCAATTTGACAAATGAGAAAGAAGTGCTCGTACATGCTTGTGGAAGAATAATTATAATTAAAGCTTGTAGTTGACAAGAAGCTGGAAGAAAAAAAAATCTAAGATTACAGTTGAGTCTGCCAAGTGATTTAAAATAGGCCGTCGGATTTGTGGTAAATCCTCAGGAATGTGCAAGAACAACACCGGCAGACACCTAGTCTTGGGGAAACCTGCAACGCCTCCTCCTCCTCCTCCTGGAAGGATGTCTTCCCCCTCAATCCACTCCACAGCCCCCTCGGAGATGTCCTTCCTCACATGAGCCCACTGCCCCCATGAGACCTGAGAAGCCTTGAGTCCCCTTATTGGGATGCCAGAATTTACAAGAGGCTGAAACTGTAAAATGCCAAACTCTGGAGCTATGAGCAGAATGTCATGTTTTTTTTTACCACTTGGAGAAAGTTAGCCTACAGTGAGAAACAGAAAGCCAGAGCTTAGGAATGAACAAAGAAAGAGTAGGGAGGGAAAATTCCTGATGGCAGAATAAATCCCAGGGCCTAGAGGTTGGAGGCCTGTCCTAGAGTCCTGAATGTCACTCTGGGAACCCTCAGAAGACACCCCTTGATTGCTTAAGAGGGTTCTATGTGGGTCTTCCGTTTGCATCTGAGTTCTACCCAACACAATAGCTTTGAACAAACCATGCTTCAGCAAACGTGCATGTGTGGGGCAGGGAAACATCAGGGGAGTAGCACACACACAAATGGCCCTAACCAGAGACCACAGGGAAGAGAAGTGCTCTGGAGGCCAGGAGCACACAATGGTAGAAGGAAGTGCTGGATTTAGAATGGTCAATTTACCCAGCTGGCTGATATGTCAAGTCAACACAGCAACTAAACCAGCATTAATAGTCTTCGTTCATGTTAACTCCCTCTCAGTCCAGTATCATCAGTGAAATTAGCAGTTCAGGTACTTTGTTACTGACGTAATATGTACTTCCTTTAACTATTTGTTTTCATGGACACAGAAGTGGGGTTCTGAACAGGAACAGCAGAGACAGAATAAGAGCCAGAGATCAAGATTGCAGATTACAAGAAAAATATGTTCAAAGGAGTACAGATTCGTAATATAGGAGGAGTTACTAAACATATAATAAAGATATTAATAAGGAATGAAAGAAATGAACATATTCATAAGCACTCTTGATATTCAAATGGTATGTTTGAATATCACTGCTCTTAGTTCCCTTGGTCTTCTCTCCCACCTGTAGCCTACAGCTGTTGGTACAAGAGGCAGTACAGGTAAAAACAAACTGACCAGAGCCTATGGCACTGCTATAAAGAAGAAATGAACAGCAGTCAGTTTAAAAGTTGAAAGAAACGAATATTCTCAACATCTTGGCCATTCCACAAATTGGCTTTATCAACCTACAGCCCTAAAGAAATGATGCTCCAGTGAAAACAGGAGATTCCCACTATCCATGAGGTATTCAACAGTATCCCTCAGCAGAGACCAATATGTGTCTAAACAGAAATAAGACATATTAATGGAACACGGCGGAGGCAATCATCATTATAACAGAAGTAAAGCAGCCAGCAAACAAAAAGGTATCCATGTGTGTCCATTATGGAACAAGGGAGACTGATATTTCATTCATTTAG